CTGCGGCGGGCTCGGGGCGCGGGGGGCGCAGGTCCCGCGCTGGCGCCGCGCCCGCCGCCGCTCCCCTCCTTCCCCCCGCACGGCGCTGGCGGAGCGCGGCGCAGCTGCCGGCGGGGCGGGCGGGGAGGCGGCGTGACCCGCGTCACCTGACGCGCCCGGTCACGGGCCGCCAGGGCCTCCGCGCTCGCCCGGGCCCGCTCCCGAGCCCGGCCGCGCCTCTAGCACCCTAGCGCCGGCGGGCGTAGCCGGACGCTGCGGGCTCACCGGCGGGTCCGGGGCCTGCCGGCGCCGCTCGCCCCGGCCCTGCTGTCCCGAGAGACAGCCGTGGGAACGGTGCACGGGCGAGGCGCTGCCCCTGGGGTGCGGGGCGCCGCGGTGGGCGAATGGAGCGGCCAGGTGTGCCCGGCAGCGGCACCGAGATGGCACCTGGCCATCGGTTTCTATTACAAGCATCCCTGCTCAGAAACCCTTACAGTCACAGAAATCAAATAGGTTGTGAAAGACCTTTGGTATCATCCAGTCCAACCGATGACTGAACACCACCCTGTCAACTACACCGTGGCACCACGTTCAGTCTAAGTCCTTAAACACCTCCTGCGACTCCACCACCGTCCCTGGGCAGCCCATTCTGAAACTAATCGCCCTCTCTGTGAAGAATTTCTGCCTAATACAGAACCTACACTTCCCCCTGAGGCAGTTTAAGGCTATGTCCTCTCCTCCTGTCACTGGTTGCCTGGGAGTCTGGCTCCTATCTGGCTACAACCTTCTTTTCAGTCACTTTGCAGAGAGTGGTAAGGTCTTCCCTGAGCCTCCTCTTCTTGGTCATGTCCTGCAACCTTGCCCTGCACAAACCCCAAAGACAGACTTGGGTCTCTTCTGCCTCATCCATACCCACTTCCAGCATGTGGGAGACTCTAGAACATGGGCAGGACAAGAGTGTGTCCGGTGCTGCCCAGCTCACCCATCTGCCAAGCCTGCTTCAGCCCTAGATGTGCTGTTGGCACTGCCTACTGCCTGCCCCATGCTCCTTCCGTGCCGACTGTCATCACATGCGCAAGCCCAAAATGTTAAACCAGGCACTGACAGTGGGAGGTAATGTATTTGCAGTGTGGGTCAGAGAGAGCTTATTTTAGAAATAATTACTTGATTAATAAGGAACACTAAAGAGAGACATAGTAGCGAAATCTCTAAAGAAGTTGAGATTTTGATGCCCCTGACAGACAAGGAGCACTCATCTCCCCGCCATTGCTTTCTCCAGGCTTGCTCTACAGAGATAGACCTCCTGCCTTTCATCCAGGCCCCTTCTCAGGAGTTTCCAGGGCTGCTCTTCTTATCTTGTTCCAGTCTAAGCTCCAGAGTGTGTGTGTTAACCCCTGGCTGTCATCCCATGCTGCCCACTGTGGTGACTGGCAGCTGAATTCCTGATTCTACAACACCAGATTTTCCTCTGTTTCTGTTTCTCTCTTTCTAATTCTTTCTGCCCCGTTCTCCCTCCCTGCATTCAGTATATTGATTAGACTTCTATTTAGAGTCTCTACTTTTTTCCTGCAGCTGATTATTTCTGTCACCTCTGTGCTGCATGACAATCTCCTTATCACCAGGCCTTCCAGGTTGCACTAAGTCACTGGAGATAATGGAAGTACACATCTGTTCAGAGGTGGGAGAAATCCCCCTTGCCTGTTAATATACAAATTTATTGAAGGGCCTGCCTTTATTCCCAATTTATCAACCTGCTTGGAAGTTTTGCTTGAACAGATTAACAATGTACTAGAAGATTATGGGAAACCTTTCAAAGTTAAATCCTGTAAAATGAATTAGTACTTAGGTTTGGAGCAGGATTTTTTTTACCAGTCACATTTTCAGCATTGTGTCTTGGGACAACCCTGACAGGCATTAGTCTGCTGAAAACTGATGGAAAGAGGAAGAGAGATTCCGGGTGTGTAATGAAGGACCATCTGTCTCACACACCATCTGATCACTTAAGTGCACAAAGGGCTGTTAGGTTTCAAGGCCAGCTTTGAATAGAGGGTTTTTCCCTGAAATATCTGTACTAGGTTTCTTCTGTACAAAGAGCTGCTTGAAATATGACCAATGAGAGGGAGAATAATTTGGATATATTAAAATACTAAATCAGGGTGTAGAAACTCAAAAAAGGGACTGGTTGTAATGCAGCTCTTCCCACAACTGACATCAGTGACCTCCTACTTGACCACAGCTTCAGGTTCAAAGCCACATATACTCCAGGCCCATTGCCAGATAGATTTTTAGAGTAGGGCTGAAGCATTTCTGCCAATCCCCTGGCAGTATAATCTGTCATGGGCACTTCATAAGCCTCAGGACTTGCTCCTCCTCTGTCCCTTTGCCATCAGCTGGTTTTCAGTACCCTCTGCACCGACCCTTTTTCTTCTTTTCCTTGTGTCAGGTCACCTGACTTTGAAGCTGGGTGCACATAATGAAACAGCGCCCAGCCCTTCAGTCACAGGACTTGTAGTAAGGGCAAGTAAATAGGAGGTTGAGTCTTTGCAGATATGACATGTACAGTGATAGATGTGAATGGACTTTGTCCATGAAGATCTGGAGTTCATAGACATTAGATTCTTTCTGTGTCATTCATTTCTTTCCCCACTAGGGGAAAAAAAAAATCCAGAAGAATACAAAATCGACTGTCTGCATTAGAAAAGGTTAATGCTACTTAAGGTCAGGGAATTGTCCCACTGACATCCACAAAATCAAGGAGCCTATCTGCACCTAGGTTTGTAGGATCATGATAGGGTCTCATCCTGTTCCTGTTAAAGACCGAACATTTCCATGAAATACATTAGTGACAGATCTGTGCCAAGAAAGCTTTTTTCTACAATGTGCTAACATCTTGTTTCTCAGTCATAATGAGCAAACATAACCAAAATAGTTCTGCAAACTTTTACATGTATGGAACTTATTTAACACACAGATTAACTGTTACTCACATAAATACTTCTATTCCTACATTAGAATTTTGCACAGTATCAAATTAAATAAAATTCACATGAAGTAAGCCTATCCTGAATATGGAAATGAGCAAAAAAATTGTAATGTGAAGAATCACAGTGTGTTTTTATGTGTTTTAGCAACTACGCTTTAAATTAAGTAATGACACCAGACTTCAGATTAATGCCGTAGTTTTGACAAAGCCTTACTGAGATCAGGGAGGCATCAGAACAATAAATCCAGTCAGTCAGTCAGTCAGTCTTTCCTTGGGAGCACCAAGGGTTTTGATGTGAACCTCTGGTGTGAGTTGGGTCCCTTCCAACTCAGCATGTTCTACGAGTGTATGACTGTCACCTGAGGCTCTTGTAGCACGCTGCAATAAGCGGTTCTACGATTCTATGACTATTGCCACAGAATGATGACTACCACAGTAAATATTTAGTGAAAAAGGCATAAGTAGAATAATCCGAAAAAACATTCAAAATAATATATTCATTACATAACTAGGAAGTGCCTGTAATACTTCAATGTTTAGTTTGTTTAGGGCATCAGTTAATTTGGGGCATTTTGAATGCCTTCAAGCCAAAGGAACAGCCTTTGAAAGCAATGTGCCTGTGAGATCAAGCATTGTAAGGGGAACAGCTGCTTGTTTTCTGTTTTCTCCTTCTCCTAATCCCACTTTCATCATTTTACTCAGCCTACCTTCTTCTTTCTTCTCTACCGGTCTCTACAGATGGTCCTGTCCAACTTGCCTGCCATACTGGTTTGTGAATTACTGACATTCACCCATAATTGCCCACACAAACACATGACTTAGGTGAGCAGAATGTCCCAGTGATATTGTGATAGCTGGAGGGGTGGGTGAGGCATTAAGCAGGCACAGTCAGCTTTCAAGGCGTCCCTCTCTGATCTTCAGCTCAGACTTCATAGCCCGCTGACTGGCTCCTTGCTGGAGGGAAGGGCATCTGGCCTCCCTGAAATCGTGGGAATTTTATTATGTCAAATTCTGGGCTCCCCAGTACAAGAGGGATGTGTAGCTGCTGTGGGTCCAGTGGAGGGCAAGGAGGGTGATTGTGAGACTGAAGCATCTCTCTTATGAGGAAAGGTGGAGGGAGCTGAGCCTGGTTGCTGAAGATGGGAGATCTCATTACTGTCTATAAATATCTAAAGGGAGGTTACCAAGAAGATGGACCCAGGCTCTTCTCGGTGGTCTCAACCAATCGGATATGAGGCAACAGGCAAAAACTGAAATTCCACCTGAACATAAGGAAGAACTTATTTACAGTGTGGATGACCATGCACTGGAACAGATTTCCCAGAGAGATTGTGGAAGTTCCCTCACTGGAGATATTCAAGAGCTGTCTGGATGCAGTCCTGTACCACGCGCTCTAGGATGAGCCTGGTTAACCAGGGAGCTTGGACCAGCTGACCCACTGTGGTCCTTTCCAACCTGACCCACTCTGATTCTGTGGTTTTGTAGCCCTTCTTCTCACACGCAAATTATTATGAGCTTCCCTAATTAAACGGCAAAGGAACTTCGGTCCAGGCGAGCGTCCAGCCCGCGTGGAGCCTTGCTCCGGCCAGAGCCCTGTGTTGCTGGCCGGGGCGCGGGGCTCGGTCCCGGCGGTGCCGCTGCCCGCGGGGCGGGAGGCGGTGCGGGCCGGTGGGCGCTGCCCGCCCTCCGCGGCCGCTCGGTGTCGCCCTCGCAGCGGGCACGGCGGCGGCGGCGGCGCCTCCCCCGGGGCAGCCCCGGCCCGGCGGCGGAGGCGCCGCTGGAGGGGCAGTGCCGAGCCCGGCCCGGCGGGAGCGGCGCCGCGGGGCAGCGCAGGTGAGCGCGGTGCCCACCCGCGGTCCCGCCGCGGTCCTGCCCGGCTGCGGTGGGGCGGGGGAGCGCGGAGGGGCGGCCGGGGCCGGGCGGGGCGGGGGCGCTCCTGGCGGGGCCGCACAGGTGATGGCGGAGGTGGCCGGGCTGTGGCGGGGCTGCAGCTGGGGACGAGCGCGGCGAAGCCAGTGCCCCGGAGCGGAGTAGTGAAAGTGTTCCCTTATTCCAGCCCGGGGAGGGATCCCCCACCCCCGTCGGACAGACACGGACCCTCCGAGATGTCGCGTTGGTACGGGAGCCTGTGTCAACGGAGGGGTTCAATTGCAGTTTTGGGGGTGAAAATGAGGAGTCTTAACGCTCTTGTTCCAACTTTTAAGGCCGCGTCTGATGAGAAATGGAAACCTGGCTCAAAGACATCCTTCCTGTTGTTGACATCACCTGAGAACTCCACTGGAAATATTTCCACTAGTTTGCTGCAAACATCAGCCTCCCCTGAGGTCTCAACACCTTTGTGAGTACACACTGGCTGCTGGTAGAGCTCTGGTTGTGGAAATCCATGGCTACGGCATGTAATTGTTCTGCAGTGTTCTTTTTATTGCAAGCATTAATAAAGAGCTTATCGTGCCCTGGGGTGTTGGTGTATTACAGCATAGGCTGTAGACAGGGCTCTGTTTTTTTTAAAGGCATAACCAATATATTAATATTTTTATAATTATATATGAAGTGATTGTTTGGGTTTCTGGTTGCTATTTCTGCAATGCACATGACCAGAAGGACATGTTGTCTGCCACTGAATACCTTTTGTTCACGGGGAAAACATTGAGAGGGTTGGAAAGTAGCTTGATGGTAGGTAGATTGTTGAATCTTTGCCCCATGAGTTGTTTAAATGGACTTAGAATATCTTACCAATGTTAAAGGAGTAATTGGGAAGAGCAATAAGTCTGCCTCTGTCTAAAGACAGAAAAATTTAACCACGTTCTAACACTTACGCAGCATTGGTTAGGCATGGATCAGATCCCCTTGTAGGACTGTTTGAGTTTATGGTTTATTCTAAGGAGAGTGTTATTTTCTTTCTTTCAAGGTGATGTGTCAGGCTGTTCAGCTAGTTTTATAACAACTTATTCTGGCAGGCTCAAGTTCCAAGTATTGTGTAATCTTCATTCTCTAGATAGTTGGAAAACAAAGTGTTTCTGGAGATGTGTGATTACATGTAAGATCTGCAGTTGCATTGCAGACCACAAGACATGGTGTAATGACTCTTCTTCAGAACTTCATAACAATTTCTGAGCAGAAAATACTCAAAAAATAGTTAAATACACTGCATGTAGCAAAACCTACGGTTGTGTGCCTACACAAAGTATTTAGATGCCTGGTATGTAGGTGATGTATGCCTGTTTGTCCATGAGGACCTATTAGTCTGCAATATTTGCAAGGGCAAATGGGAATTGTGTAGCAGCAGTAGTAATGTCACTGCTTTTCTCCCTGTTTTTTTTAAATTTGAAAATAAACTAATAAAATGAAAAAGGGGTTTTGTGGTAGTATTTGGTTGGAAAGTTTTCACTTTGCCTTGCTCATTAATATTTACCCAGACAGTGCTACCAACCTCATATGGGAGACTGGCTTTGAACACAAGAAATGAAATAGCCAGAAAATGATTGGTAAAAATAAAGCGAAAACCTCCTGATCATGTAGGTGCTTTCCTTCAAGATTTTTTTGCACAGAGGTCTTTTCTTTTTTGGGGAACAGAAATTGTGAGAAATTGGCTGCACTAATGGGGCTCCCATGTTGGCTGATACAATGTAGTTGCAGTACCAGGCTTAGCAGCTTGCCCTGTCACAGGTGGCAAGTTCTGGAGTTCTGATTATCAAATTTACGATGTTCTTGGTCTAGGTGAGATGAATGATACCTTAATAAATCAGGTGCTTGTAGGGTGTGGTAATGAGCAATTGAGCCTCAAGCTGCATTTCTCCATGTGTCTTTAGCTTCACCTCTGTTTGACTTTGCCAGTGAGTCATTTTGTGATGTAAAAGAAAAAGACCTTACTGTCCCTTATTCACTAAATCTGTATAAAAGGATGAACAATCCTTATTGGTTTGGATAGGTGGTGTATCAATGAACATTTGTAAAGCACTTTCAGGTTCCTAAATTGATTATACTGACAACTATATTTATTCTCATTAGTTTCAGATGTGCAATTCCTCTTTTTCCCTCAACAGTCAGGACTTTGAATGAACTTGAAACTTGAAAACTTGACAGTGAAAAGTTGTATCTTTTTTGAGAGATGTATCAGTACAAGATGTCCCTGATGCAAGTATTTTATTTAAAACCGTAAATGAGGTGCCATATTTTATTGACAAGATTGATCTAGGGAGATATTTATCAAAGACATAAATTGATTGTAATTGCTTTGGGCAAATAAAAATTTGAAGTAAATAATTTTAGTTCCTCTTGTTTATTCAGGAATTAAATATGTGACTTTCTCAAAAATAATTGAGCCAAAAACAGGTGTAGAGCTGCATTTCAGAAGCAAGGGGCACTTAACAGCAAGGGGCTAATTTTCTTCCCTGCCTCCTATCCAGTCATTTTGATCCCAAAAATCTCCAGAATAGTTTCTGAAGTACAATACTAGAAGTATTCTTGCATACCATTGCTAACTTGTGAACTCTTCAGGAAAAGCTTAGTTACTTTTCACTTGACCACTCCCTGTTAGCAGGTGCTGCTGTTTGTTACAGTTCACTGACAGTGAGAATAGTGAAATCCTGAAATACCCCATGTCTTGCTATGACCTGTCACTGAATTATGTGTACTTGTCTCATTCTAAACTTTTCCCTCTCCTGTCTGTATTTGGTTTATCTCATGTTGCCATTCAGAAGACTGTTGGATTTGTGAAGTCAAGTGTTCCAAATGCAGGAAGAGACAGAATAAATGTGTGGAGTCCTTGCTTGTTTGTTGCATAGCTTTCAAACACATGAGTGTTGGGATATTCCCTGGGACTGGGATGTTCTTTGTGTATTGCTTCCTTTGACAGGTTGTGCATGACAGAGTGATGTTTTGTATTCAAAGTGCTGCTGGTTTGGCCGGACAGGTATTTTTCTTGTTTTTTGGAAAACACTGAGGTCGAGTTGGAGATGTGCAGGTGTTGAGAGTGAAGCAGGAAGGATACTGTTGGTGTGCAGTAGTTTGATACCAGGGTCAAAAATGCTATCCAAAAAAAACAGTGATGAAATGAGTGTCAGTTTAGGGCATTTTTGAGAGGTGTGTGATAAATGAAGCATTAAGGCTGCACAAGACTTGGAGGCTAAAAGCAATCTAGCTTATTACCACTAATAGTTAGTTTGGTATATCCTGTTGCAGTAAATCAATCCCCATTGGATGGCCTAATAGATACAGTACACCAGCTTGAATTCTTGCATTATCTGGTTGTGGAGAGGTTGTCTTGGTAGCCACAGTGATGTACTTCCAGTGATATATCAAATACATAGGTACCTCATGGTACAGTGCAGGACTGTAGATTGCTGGCTTGCTCTTGCGCTGTTTTACTTTTGCTCCTTTGTCAGTGATCCTGCCATGTGTGAGATGAAATTAAAGGTCCTTGCAATGAACAGGAAGACTCTTCCAGCCAGCATTCTTGTTTTCTTGCTTTCTCCTCTGTGGTTCTCTCCTTCCCACACCCACTCCCCACACCCACTGCTGATCCTCCAAACCCTTAGGTGCATCTCAGACAAGCCACAGCCATAGGGGGGAATCTTACTTTGATTAGGAACAGGATTTGGGCACATCTGTGGCAAGTGGTGGATGGAAGCATGTGGTGTGGATGCCAGCCAGATGGAGCATACTGGGGTTGTAGGGTAGCTAAGGTGTGATGCACTGAGCATAGGTACTCTAGTGGGATTGTTGTAATCCTGAAGAAAAAATTATATACTCCTATGCCAAAAAAGCCCAGGCTTTTTAATCTTATGTTGCAATCAGTATTTGGAGTACTCTTCAAATCATTGAATTGTACCTCCTTCAAATCCTGGATTTAAACAAGTTTCTTCTCACAGCCTATCCCTGACTTTCTCTCTCATGGTTTGCCACCTTCCCCACCTAAGCACCATCCACTTTGTGAAGTGAGCCACTGAAGTTGCAGGTTTTGTGTGCATGTCTTGGCATGCTGTTGGATAGAAGCATTTTCATTTGCATTATGGAAAATGCATTTGGAATTGATGGAAATTAGTTCCTTAAGGGTGTGCATCTTCATTGTGTCTGCATTGCAGTGGGATAATTTGCTTTTCCAGTTTAAGATGCCAATTGCTTTAAGCCAGTCAGGGATATTTTCTGTTGGTTTTAACAGCATCTGCAATGTGACATCTTTGGAAGAACTGTTGCTAGGTCTATTTATATTGTGCCAATACAATTCTGAGTTAAAGTGCCCTAAATTGTCTCAGTTGGGTCAGTCACTGAGGAAGAGTGCCAGCCTAATAAAATAAGAAAGCACCGTGAATGTATGGTAATTATATATGAGCTCAATATTTGAGTAACTTTTTAATAGTGGTCCCAGTGAATTATTTTAGGTATGTTTTACATCTATTCAGAGTTTGAAGTCTGTGCAACAGATGCAGAAATTGCAGCTGGTTCAGAGGCTTGGGCAGGATGTGATCTTTTCACTGTATCACTACTGTTGCAAATAATTGCAGTAATAACTGCCAGGCAAATCTGTTGTTTAACTCAGTTTTATAGTATTTTGTTAAGCTTACATATGAGTAATTTCTTTCATTTTCTGTCTAAGCACTTTTGGGACTTGACTGGCTGAAGTCTTTCGAGAGGATTCTGGGATGGAGGGAAGGGGGGTGTCTTTCTTCTGGCTGTGAAATTATCTGCCTGACATCTACAGTTTTTCATTGATGTTATTGTTCTGGTTTGAATCCAGATTTTAAAAGTGCAGCACTTTCTTATAAGTTCATTTTTTCCAGACTTTCCTGAATTCTTGCAAGTATGTGTTCTTTTTTCACAGCTTCTGTGTAAAATCCAGCCATGCTCTTTCCATGTGCTCTTTTTTTTTTTTCCTTTTATTTTTAGGTTTATGGTGGGTTTTAAAGTTTATTTTTAAGCTTATGGTGTAAGTACTGCTATGAATGGCAGACTCAGATGTGGAGTAAGCTTGAACCTGAATCTGAATTATAGTATTTTATTAATGAGCAGTCAGCTACTAAATTGGATTCTCTTCTTTCCCTGTAAGACTACACTTAATCAGTTTGTAGAAGCCAGGGTTTAAGAAATCCTGACCTGGCATGCACTGAGTGAGGCTGTCGTCCATTTCACTTATTCCCTGGTGTCTTGATAGACGAGTGGAGGTGCCCCTGCAGGTGAGCAGCTTCATTACCAGCATGCCTGATAAAGCAGAGCTGGATTTGTGGATGAATGAGGATAGCTCAGTCAAGAGAGGGTGTTGATGTTAGCTGTCTTAGTTGCTGCTGGCCTCAAAATAAGGAAATTTAATTTATTTAAATTGTAATAATGTGAAGAGTTTTC